GACTAGTCAGTAATGGCAAATGTTGTAGAGGTTGAAACGGGTGAATATGAGAAAGTAACACTAAATTTCATGGTTAGGAGGTTTGGAGCAACCTCAGTGGAGTGTTGGAGGTAGTAGGTTGCAGTGGGAAAGGATGAGAGTGTGGGGAGAAAGTGGAAGCAGCACATGCAGGTTGGATTTTTAAGACATTCCTTCTTGATACTAAGAAACTGTGCAGAAGTTAGAGAAATAACTGTTTAGATAGGATGTGTGGTGTTTTTTTTGTTTGGTTTTTGTTGTTTTTTGGGTGTGTGTGTGTGTGTGTGTGTGTGTGTGTGTGTGTGTGTGTGTTTGTGTTCTTAGCTTTGGGGACAATACAAGCATATTTAAAGATCAAGAGGGAGAAACGTCACCTCCCTCCCCACCAAAAAAAACAACAACAAAAAGGAAGAAATGATTATGTAGGAAAAAAGGTATAAATGACATTTTGAGTTCTCAAGTAGGTAAGAGGTAGGTAAAGCTTAGATGGAACCAAAGAAGGACACTCTCACTCAGGAGACTAAAAGTAGGGGAAAGAGGGGCTGGCCGAGTGGCTCAGATGGTTAAGAGCTCGCTCAAGAGTGTGAGCTCTGAGCAACAGGAGTTCAATTCCCAGCCCAAGCTGAGCTGCCAACAGGTGGCAGGATAACTCAGCTTAAAAAAAAAAAAAACGTAGGGGAAAGAAAATTGAAAGGGGACTATTTTCCTGCCCTAGAACCTAACCAGCCAGACACTGAACAGCTTAAACCAGAGTTGAAGATACAGGTAACGTTCTGCTTTAACAAAAGGCCAGAGCACTTGAAGTTGGAGCAGAAGCTTAGTCTGCCTTATGGGAAGAGATGTCCTTCGGGATTAGAAGAAACGTTCTAAAATATAGTTGACTCAAGAACCATCAAAACAGGCCAAGGACAGCACCCTCATTAACTCCCACCACAATAATAAACGTGTTATTATCAATACAATAGTGTGAATAAATCAGTGTTGCAGCCTATCTACTATCAATTAAAAATTGCTACAACAGAAAAGAAAAATGTATGGTGAAGTGGATGATAGGATTCCACAACCAAAACCTTTTTTCATATTACAGTATCATAAAATACTGGTGTCTAATACATATAAGAAAGTGAGTAGTAGATGTTGACATTTTATTTCATCTTTAAACTCAGTATGGATACTAATTTCAATTTATTACAAAATAAATCTTTATGTTTCTTTTTTTTTTTTAAGCTACTAATAGTAAATGGATCCAGGAGCATCCAGAGAGTGCATATAACCTTGTGAATTCTCCACACTTGAAACCTGCCTGGGTCTTAGACAGAGCACTTTGGCATTTATCCTGTGACATTGCAGATGGGAAATACAAAGAAAAAGGAGTGCCTGCTTTGGTTGAAAATGACCATCAAATGAATGTCAGTATGTATGGAAGAGTACCACACTAAACAAAATAACAAAATTTCTAAAGTGTGAATTAAATGTGTGGTTGAAAATTATTTAGAATTTATCTTTTAGTATGCTAAATGATATTTAGTGGAAATATTTTAAATATACATACCTATTTTTTAACTATTGAAATTTTTCAGTGCATTCGAAAAATAATTTGGGAGGATATTTTTCCGAAGATTCAACT